CCTCAATGCATGGACCACATTCCACCTCATTCAGGGACTCATCCTGCCCCAACTCACCTATGGGGTTGAAGTATGAGGCATAAAAACACAGATACGAGAAGCCCAGACTGCCCTGAACAACATCACGAGAAGGGCCTTGGGACTAGAGTTAAAAACCCCCCTCGCCGCCCTATACTCAGAGCTGGGCATCCCCCCCCCTCACTCAACCTAAGCACCAAATACAGGCACAACCTGCTCGCCCTCCAGGCCGAGGAGCTGGACAGACCAACGAACTAGACATGTCAATAGCTCGAGGAGTCCGGAGCACGAGAAACTATCCGTATGGCCTACTCACAGGAGCTAGGAAAAAAGGCCCTGAAACGCCACCTCATGGTGAAATGAAAGGACAGCGTAGAGAACACCAAGATCCGATACAAGAGCAAACCGAGACCCAAGTCTAAGCACCTGTGCGGGATCACCAGGCAGGAGTTTAAAGACTTGCTCTACCTCCATCAGCAAAAATAAAAGCTTGTGTCCTGTGCGGCCTGTGCGTCTGACACACAGGATGCACAGGACGCAAACCGTTAATCAGGACGCAAGACGGCAGCTACCGAATCTCAGGACGCAACGGTCCTTGGTGCCAGAACTCCGGACGCAGCCAGAATGCAAGCGAGCCTTGGTTTCACAACTCAGGATGCAGCCAGAACGCAAGCAAGGCTAGGTAGCAGAACTCAGGATACAGCCAGAACGCAAGCGAGTACTACTGCAATACCAGAATTAGACCTTGTGACCCAGGTCACATATGTAGATTCTGAAACCTTTCACATAAATAGTATTTCTCATCATATTCAAGTCGGTTCTATAATACATGATACAGAAACAAAGCGCCCCCCCCTCCTCCTCCCTAACCCTTTGCTCCGAATCCGGCCCAAACCACTTATCTGACAGGAGATAACTGCACCAATATTGGCGCTAGGAAGACTTCTGGAAGACTATTGGAAAGCTGGCGTCAAGTAGAATATGGCTGCCGAGTCTCAGAACCTGCACCCAAAGGACGCCTGGGCAATCTGACATCAAAGTCAGCACTTTGCCAGGGTAAAGACCACTTTCATAACAGGCTGTAACTCCACCAGTATGGACGCCGGGGAGACGTCCAGGGTACCGTTGGAAAGCTGGCGTCGAGTGGAACCAGGCCACCGAGTCCCAAATGCTGGGAGCAAAGCATACCTGGGCAATCTGGTATCAAAATCAGCACTCCACCAGAACTCAGTCAAAACTCGGCCAGGGTAAAAACTACTTTCATAACAGGGTGTAGCTCTACCAATATTGGCGCCGGGTAGACGTCCGAGGTAC